CCCCTTCACGACCCCACTCAAGTACTAACCTCTCGGTGCAGTTTTCCCTTACCAGCATCTCACACCCAACCCAAGAAATAATTGCCCTCAATTTTTACATTCCATGGTATTCTTATATTTGTTGCACTAACACTGTATTATGCTAATTGAGCATATGCTTGTGTAAGTGTGTGTGTGTGAGTATCTCCCATGTGGACTGTAAATTCCATCAGAGTGGAGATTGTATCTTATTTATCTTCAGTCGTGTCTGACTCTTTGCGACCCCATGGGCTGTAGCCTGCCAGGCTCCTCTGTCCATGGGATTTCCCAGGCAAGAGTATTGGAGAGGGCTGCCATGCCCTTCTCCAGGGGATCTTTCTAACTCAGGGATGAAACTTGAGTCTCTTACATTGCAGGTAGATTCTTTACCATCTGAGCCACCAGGGAAGCCCTTATTTGTCTTAAATTAGTTTAATGTAAGAATAAGTGCATGAGGGACCTCCCTGGTGGTGGCTAAGTGGCTAAGACTCCATGCTCCCAATGCAGGGGGCTCAGGGTCTATCCCTGGTCAGGGAACTAGATCCCACATGCTGCAACTAAAAGAAAAAAAAAAGAATAAGTGTATGCATGAATGAATGCATCTGCTGCAGGATTTGCAACATCTGAATGCCCCTTCCCCATCTTCAGCCTTTTTCTGGAGCCTGCAGCGGAGTAGGTGAAAATTCATGCTCCTCCAGTGGTCCAAGTGTGTCTCCTTCCTCTTCTGCTCCAGGCCAGAACAGCTCATGACTGCTGAGAGCAGCGGCAGGGTCCCACTGTGACCGCCCACCACAGGCCTGGGCTCCCTGCCCTGGTGCCGTGGCGGGGGCTGGGGGGCGTAGAGGCCCACAGCCGCACCCGCATCCATACAGTTAGCCCTGAGCCCCTTCATGGGAGAGGGGAGGAGTAGGCGGAGCGCATCCCCGGGAAGGGGAGCCTCGCTTGGTTCCTGGGGCCCGAGGGCTCCACTGAGGGAACCACCTGTGGTCCAGCCAGGACACGCGGGTGTGTGTAGCCCCGCTGAGGGGACCTCAGGGAAGTGCCAGGCTGTTCTTTCGGGGCTGCAGCTGCTGAATGGGCCTTCTCCCAAAGTCACGTGGGAAGGATCTTTGCATTTCCTGTAAGAACAGCTGTGGAGAAGCTTCTTTACAATGAGCAACAGTTTGCTGGTAAATTCTGAGAACGCAGGGCCTGGGAAGACTTCGTTTACTTCTCTTTGTGAATCATGGTTATTTTTTTCACCTAACAGAAGTGGATCCTGTAGGCTGATGGGAACTCGGTGCTACATGTTATGGTCCAAATGCTATTTTCGTTAGTGAGCAGGTCTTGTTACAATATGTTTATTGTATTCCCTGTTTTGAAGTGATTTTACCAGAAATTATCTTCTTTATGGTGATTAGAGATGGGCAAGAATGATACATGTACCTGGTATGTTGAAGAGTTTCAACCATGATACGTATTTTTTAATTTTTTGATGTGGACCATTTTTAAAGTCTTTATTGAATTTGTTACAATTGCTTCTGCTTTATGTTTTGGTTTTTTGGCTGTGAGGCATGTGGTATCTTAGTTCCCCCACCAGAGATGGAACCCACACCTCCTGAATTAAAAGGTGAAGCCTTAAGCACTGGACCATCCGGGAAGTCCCCAGCCATGATATATTTTCCCCATAATTTCAACTGACCTTGCTGGATGGAGTGCCATACTTCACAATGTAGCCTTTCACTGTCCTTTATACAGGATTCTGCCTTCTGTATGCAGAGGTTCCCCACCCCAGCTGCAGAGTAGAATTACAAGGGCAGATATTTCTGTAAAAATAAAAAATAAAACTAGATGTCAAATAAGAATTGCTGAAGGTGGGAACCAGGTTTCCATATCTAAAAACTTCTCAGACAGTGCTAAGGTGGGGCCAGATTGAGAACCTCAGAACAAGGGCAGAGGTCAGGGTTTACTCAGCAAGCACATCACAGCCTGAGGGGCTCTGAGATGCTGGAGGCTGGACCTTACTCCACATGTACGGAATAATCATCTCAAAGGGTGGGCTCCAGGCAGTTGTAATGAAGCAGAACCCTGTGGAGACCGCTTAAGGAAACTATGGCCGGAGATGAGATTGGAGAAAGTTCTCATGTAAGCCTTACAAAGAAACAGGAGCTCTTGCTCAAGGGTAATGGGGAGACAGGCAGACAAGTGACAATTCTGTAAGCAGACAGGTTAGGAGGACGCTTGAGAAAGAGAACCAGGAATGGCTTTCTTGACATAAGAGGAGCCATTTTGGCCCAAGCCCTGTTGTGATCTAAGCAGAGCTGCAATGCTTGCCCTTGAACAAACCTCAGTAATTAACGCCCTTAAGAGAACACAGGAGTCCAGGAACAAACAAAAGGCAAACAACAAAGTGATAAAGCAAGGTCCTAGTTCCTCCTCAAGGGATATACATAATAATACATGTTTGAGTTCTGCAGGAACTAAGGCGCCCACCCAGGTGAAGGATGGAATGATAATATTGACATTTCTGACTTGAGTCAACTAAAGTTTGGGCTCTGTGGACCTTTGCCTCAGTTCTATGCTGAATTCTCCTTTTGCTCAAGCTCCTTCATGAATATGCCTGTACCCTTAGCTTAAAATTTCCCCAGTTTTGCTGTTGGGGAGACACTGCTTTGGGAAAGATCACCAGTGTTCTCCTTACTCGAACCTGAGTGAGCACTGTGACTCCGTAACTGGAACTGGTAACCTCTACACCGGACAGCCAGCCTGAGGACAGGAAAAACCTGGGCTTTTGCTCACCAGCGTGTCCCTCCTTCACTGCACAGCAGCCAGCAGGGTGCCCAGCTCATAACAGGTTCTCCCAAAACCATATGGAGCAAATAAATCACTGATATGGATTACAGCTACAGATTCTCCCAGGAAAGGACCCTGCATCCAGTAAGAAGTATTCTGAGGAGCAGACCAGCTCTTTCAGATTTGCTGTTTGAAAAATTCAAGGATGACCCTTCAATGAGAGTAGAATTACAGCAACTCCACCAGTTCAAAAACACTGTGTCACCCCAAATCTTTATGCCCACTAAGGCTCCCCAATACTTCAGCCAACTTTGGCCCCTCCAGCTCCTCTCTCCAGTCTCAAGATGACTTTCAAAATGTCAGCTTATCTCCCCCTTGCCCTCTCCTCCACCCCACCCCCACAGACTTTGTTCCTTTCTCACTGATGCTCTTGCTTAAAATGGCTTTCCCCTTGGTGGCATTATATGTCTCTTTCCTGTCTCTTCTGGAGAACCTACCCATGGTCCCTAACCCTAACCAGGGTCCAATCACTGCTTCAACTCGGAATGCCCACAGTACCTACATATGTGGCTGAGGCTTCTTCCTGTTTTTATTCCATCTCCTCCATTTGACCCTTGCATATCATTCTGGTATCAGATTTCAAACACCAAATGCATACCTCCTTTATAGCCCCCTTTACTCACATTTGCATAAGCACCATCTCCACTGCAGAAGTTCCTACTTACACTCACTGATGGCTACAGGGCTGAAAAGCCCTCCACCCATATGGCAACTGCACCTAGGAAAACAACATTATCTCTACCCTGTATGACTGGTTACCTAGAACTTGGAGGTTTTTCTGGAGAGAAGGAAAGCATCTTTCCAATGAATGCAGAAGGACTCACCCTCATAGGAATCAGAGGCAAGCTGCCAAATTTTAAAAACAGGTTTATAGGGACTTTTCTGGTGGTTCAGGGGTTAAGATTCCAAGCTCCCAGTGCAGAGGGCCCGGGTTCTATCCCTGACTGGGGTACTGGATCCCTCATACAGCAACTAAGTGTTTGCATGCTGCAACTAAAGATCTGGTGCAGCCAAATAAATATTTTTTAAATAAATGAAAACAGGAGCATAGCCTTCAAGAAACACATTGTATGTTCGTCAAACAAATCATCATGTCAAAATTTCCAGGCTTGAAGGCAATGAAAGGCAATGAAGGGAGGAGAAGAGCAAGTTGCTGGAGGAAAAAAAGCCTGTAGGTACTATTGTCGTGCAGTCCGACTCTTTGTGACCCCCATGGACTGCAGTACGCCAGGCCTTCTTGTCCCTCACTAACTAGTAGACACTATTATCTTTGGTCAAAGCCCAGATGAAAAGAGTCAAAAGGCATCCACGGATCTAGAAAGTTACATAAGTTAGTATATTCTTTTAAGATAGGCAACTGAAATAAAGCAGAGAAATGGAAGTTAAATTTCTAATTCTCAATGTCACAGACACGATATAGTTCAAGCCTTGCTGAAGAGAAGGAAGAACCTTTTCTTTCCTGGTAGCTCAGACAGTTAAGAATCTGCCTGCAATGTAGTAAACCCAGGTTGGGCTCCATCCTTGGGTGGGGAAGATCCCCTGAAGCAGAGAAGGCAATGCACTCCAGTACTCTTGCCTGGGAAAATCCCATAGACAGTGGAGCCTGGGGTCTACAGTTCATGGGGTTCCAAAGAGTCCAACAGGATTGAGCAGACTAACAATTTCACACTTTCACTTTCATCTGTACAATGACCCATTTCAGTTTTAAAATTCAGTCTTATTTCTGCCTCAAATGATTCCTTCTCCTTCTCAACCATCCTAACACTACACCACCTTCAGCGGAGTGGATGTAGGGGTCTGTCAGCAAGAAATAAAATGTGGTGTCAGCTGTGGGAAGAAGGGTCTATTTGGGGAGGAGCCCTAACCCTTTGCCCTGGCTCTTATCTCTGAGCTGTTATCGGCCCTGCTGACAGCGGCCACTTCCAATTTAAGTTCTCCAGGGCATGAGAGGCCCCTCTGGAAGTTCAGCCACTCCTCCTGGCAGACCCCCAGCACTGATCACATGGGGAGCACCCCTGGCCGGTTCGTGGTTGTCTCCAGCAAGGCTGTGGTCATCCATCTCTGCTGCCCTCCCTGCCATCTCTTGGTCTGTGGGTATATAAATGTTTCTTTCTCACCTCTCTGGAGCGGGAACGTGAGGTGTGGTGGGGATGCTGGGTGCAGAGCCTGGACAGCCCCACGCGCTACCTAGCTCCCACGGTCCTGCCCTGGTGGCGCATGCGCAGGCCCGCAGGTCTGGTGGCCCGGCAGAGAGTAAATATCAGGGACCCTAACCCTCTTAGGGGACCCTCTTGGGTCCTCCCACACTCGCCTTTGGGGTCTTGAAGCAGGAGAAGCAGAGGCAAGATCGCTGCACACTTCATCCCCCATCCCAGGAAGGCGAGCCCCGCCCCCCCTTTCCCCGGGGGGCTTCCTGGGCTGGGGGGTGTCCCTGCTGTGCCCCCCGCTGCCCACATCGGCTCTCCACCCCCGTGCCCCCACCCCCAGGCCAGTCCGGGAGTGGCAGGCGGCGCTCCTGCTTCTTCTCGGAGGCCAGACTCCAAGGATTTGTTTCCAGGGATGCCTCTTGAGTCAAAGTTCTGGGAAGATGGGGGGAAACGTCGCACATGACCCATAATCTCGTCCTGTGACATAAGTTAATGCTGTGAATGGTTTCCTGAGTTCGTGGCACTAGGGAAGACATCTGGGGCTCTTTTCTGTTTGTGAGGAAAGGACGGATCCCAGCTTGTCCTCCCGGCTTCCAGTTGCCTGCAGGGACCGGCGTCTCCTGCTGCTTCAGACCCCGCGACCCTGTTCCACGGGGCTGGAGAGGGGCGCTGGGGCTCACTTCCTCATGCTCAGCTCTCGGGGTGCACGGGCCGGGCCCCTCGGGCTATGGAACTGGGGCCCGGGAAGACATCCACGTTCTTTTCCAGCCACTAGGTGGGAGGTGTGCTGCGCTGGGCAGCCGGGGAGGAAACTGTTCCAGCCTTGAATTAAAGACACCGATCATGAGCAGTGGGGTAAATTCCTATCAAAAACGGACAAGAGGCATAGAAAGCTACGGGAGAACAGGCCTCCTGGGATCAGTCTATGAGTCTCGTTTGGATTCGCACTTGTTCAGTGGCTAGACAGCTTTTAAATTTTTTTTTTTTTTTAACTTTTAGGGGGCATGGCATGTGGGAACTTATTTCCTTCACCGGAGATCACACCCGCGCCGACTGCGGTGGAAGGGCAGAGTCTTAACGATTGCACTGCTGGGAAAGTCCCTATGGCTTCAGTATTATGATGAGAGTAGGCCTGTGCTAGGGAGAAGCCTGCCTCCCCTAGATAGGGGGATGGAGTAGGGGCCAGAGGACGATTGTACTTAAAAAGTTCGATCATCTGTATTGCCAGTCACCTGAGGGGTACATGCACCCTCAGAACCTGAACTGAGATCAGTGTCCCCAGGTAAACATAATAGCTACCATCTGTTGAACACTCGTCTATGCCAGGCTCCATCTTAAATGGTTATCAAATACAATCTCACGTAGCCTCCACAACACCATGAAAACAAACAAGCAAGCTGGGACACAGAGAAGTTAAGCAACTTGTCCAAGGTCACACAGCCAGTATGCAGGAGTGTGTGCCTTTGAACGTGAGTGATTTCCCTTCAGAGCCCCAGTTCTGAGCCTCTGCCGTATTCATTGCCACCCTGGTGTAGGCAGGATTCTTTGGAGTTGGGGGTGCAGCAGGATAACCTGGGGAATTAGAATAAAACTCACCAGCATGAGGAGTAGAGAGAGGTTCATTGTAAGATCCATGTCCTTTTTTACTTATACATTTTTCCTCTTTGTGGTCGTAGTTGTACACCCTTTTTAGTTTAATTAGGGAATTTGTGAGAATGGGGGTTTTTGCACTTGGATCAGACTGACACAAAGGGATCAGGGTGCCTGTAACTAGCATCATGATGACAAGGCAGGTCTGTCATGCTGTCGTCATCTGGACATTCCTCTCTGTGGCCAAAGTTGAAGTTCCTAGTTTGAATTTGTTGGAGAACACAAATACATACACTACTATTTATAAACTAGATAATCAAAAAGAACTTACTGTATAGTGCAAGGGAACTCTACTCAATATTCCGTGATAATCTATATGGAAAATAATTTGAAAAAGAATACACACATGTACATGAATAACTGAATCACTGTGAAACTAATACTTTGTAAATCAACTATACTCCGATATAAAAATTTTAAAAATCAACTTTAAAGCTAGAAAAACCATTGCCAAAAAATTCCAGAAGAGAGCCTTTGTAGCTAAGTCAGTAAAGAATCTGCCTGCAGTCCAGGAGACCCGGGTTCGATTCCTGGATTGGGAAGATCCCCTGGAGAAGGAAATGGCAACCCACTCCAGTATTCTTGCCTAGAGAATCCCATGGACAGAGGAACCTGGCAGGTTACAGTCCATGGGTCGCAAGAGTCAAACAAGACTTAGTGACTAAACCATCACCCACCACCATCACCTCAGCAGAACTTCGGTAATTGAGGGAGTGTATCGCCTACCACACTCCTCTGTCCATGGGATTCTCCAGGCAAGAATACTGAAGCAGGTTGCCATTGCTTTCTCTAGGGGATCTTCCAGACCCAGGGATTGAATCTGCATCTCTTATGTCTCCTGAACTGGCCAGAAGGTTCTTTACCACTAGCGCCACCTAAGAAGCCCATATATATGTGGCTCTGACTCCCCAGTGGAAATAAATATTCATTTTTATAACTAGTCATGTACTTTATATTTATATTCTTTTTTTAAAGAAAAGTCCCGGAAATTGCAGAAGCCTCAGATCCTACAGGACCCAAGGTTTTCCTGATGCCCAGGGCTACAGAGGTGTCCTGGACTTCAGCAATCCAGTAGTGATGTCCTCTCATCACTGTCTGGCTTTTCTAGAGGAGTTTTATCTTTACCCTCTATTGTCCTGTGGCAGTATGCCTGACTTTAATAGTATTGATACTGACATTTATTTCTCAATTCCCTTCTTATTTGTTTAGGGCTAGAAAATCACATACTAAAGTTCTTTAGAATTACATTAAAACTTGAATATATATATGAAATACTCATTAAAAGATGGAATCTTGCCACTGGCAGAGAAAGTCAAATATATGATTTCACTTACATGTGAAATCTACAGCCAGAACAAAGATGACAAGACAGAAACAGACTCAGATACAGAGAACAACCTGGTGGTTACTAGAGGGGTGAGCTGGGGGTTGGGTGAAATATTTGAAGTGGATTAAGAAATACAAACTTCCAGAAACAGAAGAAACAGACTCAGATACAGAGAACAACCTGGTGGTTACTAGAGGGGTGAGCTGGGGGTTGGGTGAAATATTTGAAGTGGATTAAGAAATACAAACTTCCAGTTATAAAACAAATAAGTCACAAGGATGTAATGTGCAGCACAGGGAACACAGTCAATAATACCATAATAACTTTGTACACCGACAGATGGTTACTGGACTTTCTACAGTGATCAATCTGTAGTGTACGTAAATGTCAAAACACTATGCTATACACCAGGAACTAATGTATACTGTATGTCAATTATACCTCAATTAACAAAGGACACATCATAAAAAAAAAAAACAACTCTGAGTAAGACTTCAACAAATTTCCTTGTGCTGGAACATGCTGTCTAGAATTTGGTTCTGCTCACCCCCCAGCTTAGAGGGTTGATGTTCCTCCAGAAGTTACTACCACACAGAGTAGATTCTTATATTCTCCTTATTAACAAAAGGAGACGTTATAAAAGAGAAAGTAGGGTGTTAGGAGTTGATAAATGTTAAGATGGATTCTAAGCCTGTAAGCTGCTTCTCATACTGATTCATACTGTTCATGGGGTTCTCAAGGCAAGAACACTGGAGTGGTTTGCCATATCTTTCTGCAGAGGACCACGTTTTGTCAGACCTCTCCACCATGACCCATCCGTCTTGGGTGGCCCTACACGGCATGGCTCATAGTTTCATTGAGTTAGGCAAGGCTGTGGTCTATGTGATCAGTTTGATTAATTTTCTATGATTGTGGTTTTCAGTCTGTCTACCCTCCGATGGAGATGAATAAGAGGCTTATGGAAATTTCCTGATGGGAGAGACTGATTGTGGGGGAAACTGGGTTTTGTTCTGATGGGAGGGGCCATGCTCAGTAAATCTTTAATCCAATTTTCTCTTAAAGGGCAGGGTTGTGTTTCCTCCCTGTTTTCTCACCTGAGGCCAAACTATGGTGAAGGTGATGAAGATAACCTCCTTCAAAAGTTCCCATGCAGGCAGTGCTGCATGCAGTGCCCGCAACCCTGCAGCAGGACACTGCTGACCCACGCCTCCGCCGGAGACTCCTGGACACTCACGGGCAAGTCTGGGTCAGTCTCTCGTGGGGTCACAGCTCCGTTCTCCTGGGTCCTGGTGCACACAAGGTTCTGTTTGTGCCCTCCAAGAGTCTGTTTCCCAGTCCTGTGAAAGTTCTGGTGGCTCTATGGTGGGGTTGATGGTGACCTCCTCCAAGAGGGCTTATGCCATATCCAGGTCTGCTGCACCCAGAGCCCCTGCCCCTGCGGCAGGCCACTGCTGACCCGTACCTCTGCAGGAGACACTCAAACACAGCTCCGTCTCAGTCTCTGTGGGGTCTCTGGGTCCTGGTGTGTACAAGGTTTGAGCCTTCTGAGCATCTCTGGTGGGTATGGGGTTTGATTATAAATGGGATTTCGCCCCTTCTACAGTCTTGCTGGGGCTTTTCCTTTGGCCTTGGATGTGGGGTGTCTCCAAAGATGGAGAAGCTCTACACACTCAGCAAAAACAAGACCAGGAGAGGACTGTGTCTTGATCATGAACTCCTTATCACCAAATTCAGACTTAAATTGAAGAAAGTAGGGAAAACCACTAGACCATTCAGGTATGACCTAAACCCTTGTGATTATATAGTGGAAGTAAGAAATAGGTTCAAGGGATTAGATCTGATAGACAGAGTGCCTGAAGAACTATGGATGCAACTTCATGACATTGTACAGGAGGCAGGGATCAAGACCATCCCCAAGAAAAAGAAATGTAAGAAAGCAAAATGTTTATGTGAGGAGGCCTTACAAAATAGCTGAGAAAAGAAGAGAAGTAAAAAACAAAGAAGAAAAGGAAAGATATACCCATTTGAAAACAAAGTTCCAAAGAATAGCAAGCAGAGATAAGAAAAACTTCCTCAGTGATCAATGCAAAGAAATAGAGGAAAACAATAGAATGAGAAAAACTAGAGATCTCTTCAAGAAAATTAGAGATACCAAGGGAACATTCATGCAAAGATTGGCACAATGAAGGACAGAAATGGTAGGGACCTAACAGAAGCAGAGGTGGCAAGAATACACAGAAGAACTATACAAAAATGATCTTCATGACCCAGATAATCACAATGGTGTGATCACTCACCTAGAGCCAGGTGAGTGCATCCTGGATGCAAAGTCAAGTGATCCTTAGGAAGCATCACTACAAACAAAGCTAGTGGAGATGATGGAATTCCAGTTGAGCTATTTCAAATCCTAAAAGATGATGCTGTGAAAGTGCTGCACTCAATATGCCAGCAAATTTGGAAAACTCAGCAGTGGACACAAGACTGGAAAACGTCAGTTTTCATTCCAGTCCCAAAGAAAGGCAATGCCAAAGAATGTTCAAACTACCACACGATTGCACTCATCTCACACACTAGTAAAGTAATGCTCAAAATTCTCTAAGCCAGGCTTCAACAGTATGTGAACCATGAACTTCCAGATGTTCAAGCTGGCTTTAGAAAAGGTAGAGGAACCAGAGATCAAATTGCCGGCATCCGTTGGATCATCGAAAAAACAAGAGAGTTCCAGGAAAACATCTATTTCTGCTTTATTGACTATGCCAAAGCCTTTTACTGTGTGGATCATGACAAACTGTGAAAAATTCTTCAAGAGATGGGAATGCCAGACCACCTTACCTGCCTCCTGAGAAATCTGTATGCAGGTCAGGAAGCAACAGTTAGAACTGGACATGGAACAACAGACTGGTTCCAAATTGGGAAAGGAGTATGTCAAGGCTGTATATTGTCACCCTGCTTATTTAACTTATATGCAGAGTACATCATGAGAAAT